TGTGTGTGTGTGTGTGTGTGTGTGTGTGTGTGTGTGTTGTTTGTGTGAGTAATTTTCTGCTTCCAGGTCCTATGGAAGTGTAGGCAGGCACGCTACTTGTAGCTGGACAAGCAGAGTACACACTTGCGCTTTGTGTTCTCCTTTGAGAATATAAGGTATACACTTTTGGGGGGCTTCATTTATCGGCACACACACACACCAAACCCCCCTGAGTGATCRTGTTCAATTTGCAGGTTGAGTTGAGTGTGCAGCGCAGGAGAAACTGAGCCGCTGCCAAGAAAAACACATCAAGTTGAAAAAAGCAAGGTGAAATGAAACATGGGAGGGATTTTGTGGCTTCGCAGCAAATTAATTAGCGAGGATTAGAACAACGGGTGGTGAGGTTTGGGGTCTCACTTAAGGGGCTCCGAGGCCTGGCTGCGTGAMCACGAACAGAGGTTTTGTCTGCACCTCAAAAGCAAGGCAAAAAGATGAAAGGCAGTAAAATCATTTTTAAAAAATAAGTCAAGGGAGATGATGTAAAGGGGACATAAACGACAAAGCCGAGCTGAGGTGGAGCTGCTGTTACTGTGCGAGTCAGAAGAATTATGTGTCAGCACAAGGGTCCAGCTGAGTTACCCCTGAAGCCACAAAGAGCAGAGGTTAAAATAATTTGCTGTGATATGGGACACCCCTTCACAAAGTCGATACGCCGTCACTTGTTTTCACTTTCTTTTATGTAAACAGACGCTATGTCGTTGTGCCGACAGAGTGTAAAACTAGTTGTTAATCCTGCAACAAACTTACTATCAGACATAAAACATGAAAATACTTTAACCTAGAATTAGGTTTAGCAAGAAAATTAAATAATTTATCTAAGAAATATGATGCTGTTTTTGCCATCCTTTATGAGYAGTTGGTAAATCATACCAACGGCATAAAAACAAATTAAATATTTTAATATTTTTAATGCTACTAAAAACAAAACAGATACTGTCTCACTAACAAATAAAATACTTACATTTGTACATTTGTTAGATTTTTTTTCATGCTAAGCACCCATCAGGTTTAAATCCATCCAGTCATCCATAAAAGTTTGACGCTGCAAAAACATAAGGATAGAGCTAAAAAAAATAGGAGAAAGTGTGAAATAGTATTCATACCTGTATTTATGCATATTAACACTGTTCATCTCTAGTGCAGTCATGTCCATGTGCAAAAAAAAAAAATTAAGGAGCAGGAGAAACAAAATAGAGACAGGACTTGGTGGATTTGTGTTGTGAGATGGCTCAGACAGAAAAGTTTGCATTATGTTAAAATATGATTCACTTCAGACATGAAAAATCGATTGAAACTGAGAAGAGTCACTTACTACACTTACTACACAGACTGGAAAACTGGGTTGGAATTTTTGGCTCAAATTGTACCAAATAGACAAAAGCTTCAAGTCAAATAAATTCCATGTGGAGTTCCCCAAGGTTCCGTCCTAGGACCTCTCCTGTTTAACATCTCCATTCAGCCTCCCTCTAGTGTCAGAACAGCACAGGTCTACGAGGGGTGTAAGAAAAAATAAAGCACTGTATTGATTTATAATTCAGACTTAAAATGTAAACTTTCAAGTCAGCAGTTCATTTTTGTGTCTTTATTTAGCCTCTGTTGTTGGCAACAGTCAGTCAGCTCTTCCACTCCTCAAACTATTTAATTATTTTAATTTATTTAACATTTGGACTAACCATTGAAAGCATGGATTAAAATAGGAAATTTGAAATATAGAAAACATAGTGAGGTTTTTTTTTTTTTGAGAAAAATGGCAGTATACAGTA